GGCTAAAAAATCCTGAAGTCCATATGAAATTAGAGGTAGTATGAGAATTACATTTTTTATGCTTTTAAGATAAAAATGTGGGGGGGGGGGTTGTATTATACACGAATAAATACAGTAATTCAATGTCTCTGTTTTAAAATGAGTCGTGTAAAGTGCACCAAAAAATATAAGCTCTACAATAGTACAAAGAAAATGTGCTTTTAAAATACCACAGAGCTATGACCAAAAAAAAAAAAAAGTCAATGTAAGCATAAAGGATCTGGTTAAAACTCTGGGACGGGCTGAGAGTTGTGTTGTTGGGTGGGTGGGGTTGGCCGGGTGGGTGACAGTGTGCGCCTCATAAAGGGGCCAGCCTTCCCTCAGCCTCTGAGACAGACACATTGAAATGAGCAGTCCAGCTAACAGGTCTCTGGAGGCTTTTTAAAGCAAGGGGGCCCTGTGCTGCTAAATTCACACACACTTCCCCTCCTGAGTTTCACTCTGCTCGTCTTCAGAGAGAAACCAGATTTCAAGGAGGAGTGATTGTTTTCCAGACTAAAGAGCGTTGTTTTGCAGATGTGCTCGCCGGAACAAAGCAGCTGTGATGTTGACAGGTGCGTTTACTCCGCAAGTGGACGTTTTCTGTTTATATATGCTTGCAATTTAAAAGAAATGCTGTTCACATTTGCTGTGAGTCCATTTCCAAGTAAGGCTGTTGGGTTTAATTTTCTACCCACACTTGGAATGACATTGACTGGTCCAGTGGGTATAGAAGCTCCAGCCTCTCATCATGCTGCTGGGGGATGATTAATAATAAGCACTGATGAATTCTCCACTGTCCCTATGGGTTCTGCCATTACCTAGCAGCTCCAAAATACCTCCTACAGCTATAATTAGAAAAGCAGCATCTTAAGGTCTCACAACCTTAGACTCGGCCAAAGGCTTGTGGGACACCAAATATTCAAATATTTAAAGTTGAGATGTTTCTTAAAGGTATTCATGGCCAACTATAAAATAAAACTTTTTTTTTCTTTACYGCATTGAAGTTTGAAGGGTTGTTGTTCTAATACGACGACAAAGCCTTTTAAAAAGCGGGCATGCACTCAATGTAAACAAACCACAGAAAACTACATGGAAGCTGGAATCACAAACTTCAGGCTGACTATAGTCTGTATGTAAACAAATATGGTGGAATTGGACATGAGTTGAATCTCACAAATGATGTTTAGACTTAATTTGGTGCTAAACGTAAAGAATGGATTAAAAAATATTGAGTAAGTAAATAATGGGGATCAAGCAGGGAGGAGTGCCGTAAAAACAGAGCTTTTATATACGATTTTTGTGACAATTCTGTAAGACTGACCAATTCACTGTTTCAATGTTTTGTTTTGTTTTTAATTATTACTCAATCAGTYTGAGCAGAAATCAGTACCTGTACATCAAAACAATTTAATTTCTCAATCCAAAGTGGCTGAACTTCTCATACTACTTATTATAGTTAAACAAATTCACAACTTTTGCTTACAAGTTAACCATCAAAATAATATAAATAAATTGTGTGGATATTTTTAGTTTGTAGATTATTATTTAATTTTCTTACCAGTTTTCATGATAATCCAATGTTACGCAGATAATTAGTTTTTATTAGGTCAGACAGTTTTTTTT